CATTTTATAATTTGCACTACTTTGAGGGCTTTTGATTTTAATTTGTTTATTAAGAATATTCTAATTCAGTTTTTAAATGAAAGAACTTTTGTTCTTTCAGCGTCTAAGATCACTTTGCGACTTGTGAAATGCAGTTAAATGAAGATAATCCTGTAAAAATATAAATTGCTGTAGACTGACAGCCTAATTAAAGTGAAAAGAAAAATCATTTTTTAAAGGACACTTTTTATACAAACGGATGTATTTGGCTGTTCCTAGGTGTTAACGGAGGTAGGGAGGTCATTCTCAGTGCCATGACTATAGTATTGTTCCCTGTGCAGCTGCTTTTGGTGCTGCACTGCTTCCACCATCCGGGATGTGGAAGAGGGTGATTAGTTCTGCCACCAAATAGTGAGGAGGTGAACTCCACTGAATTTTCATATTTAGTGGCTTTTCTGACTGAATTTGCAATGCTGATTTGTCTAAGAGGGAAGTTTGTCATAGTTTTTGTGGTGAAAAGCTTTGTCTGCTCTTTTATTTAAGCACCTTTGTTTCTAGAGAAATGGGTTTGTTAGATATGCCTGCAGACTGGTACGTGCTTCTTGTTTTATTTGGAACAACTGAGGTAAATGTACTTGGTGTTGGACTACATCATTATTGTTTTCTTTTTTTGTTATTAAAAAAAAAAAGGGACATGCCAAATGAATGTGTTAATGTCACTGCGTCATGAGGTCAGGGATTTTTGCAAAACTCACACAAGATGGAATGTTATTCTGCAGTGTTTTTTACCTACAGATGTACGAGTCCATCTTTGGATTATAAACTAAATCTATGAAATGCTGAACATGCTTTACTGTGATAATACTGTAATGCTGTATGAAGGTAACATTGTAACAGGCTTATGCTAACCTTAGTTTCTGTGAATTTTTACAGTAAGGAGAGTAATGGATGAGTGTAATATTGTGTAGTCAGTAGACTAGGAATGTGAATTACTTGTTTTCATGTAATTTATTAACAATCTAATGCTGTTGGAATAAGCACAAGTGCAAAAAATTGTTTTTAAGTATCACTTGAAAGTTGGAGCAGATATTTTTTAAATAATTTTGTTCATTACTTTCATAAATATAGTGATTTTTTTAAAAAAGAATATTGCTGATACTCAGGATGACTTGGTAGTTGTACTTTCATCTTTCTGTTGGTTGCATTCCATACTTAGGGAGTTCTTTTAAAATTCTGATGATCTGCTGCCAAATCTCCTGTTAAAAATCTAACACAATCTAACAACTTTTTGCCACTGAACCTTTTGCTTTGTGTTCTCCTATAAGCTATAAACCTGTGTCTTCACTTAGTTTCCTCGCTAACTAAAGGTGTTGAAGCAGTAACTTGGAGGGTTTTGTCATCTTTCCCTTTGAAAGGGAATGTCCCATTCTGGCTGCCTGTACTTGGGACATGCAGGGGATCAAACATCAGTTACTCCTCTGCCCTGCCGCCCAGGCTGTGGTGGTGAGCATTAAAACTAGAATCTGTGACCTAGGAGTGTAGAACTCCGTGACTTCTAAGATGATGTTACCTTCTACAAAAATACCACCTGCTTCTTCTCTCTTGCCATCTGTGCGTACTTTTGCCTTTGTTCTGTGGTTCTGCAGATCGCTGCTTTAAATGGCCTCAGATATTTGGCTTGCAGAAGCATTTCACTGAAGCAAAATCTAATTCGTCAGAGGAAAAAGTCTTTTAAAACTTACTAAATAAGCTGATCTTGTGTCATAAAAGGGGTGTGGACAAGGAGGAAAGGGTTCTAACTAAAACAGTCCTATTTGGGTGGCAGAAGCTTGCAGTTAAAGTTATCTCTAACAGTGTAACTTTATTCCTCTTCTACATGGGGCTGACTGTAGCCGTTTTAATTTTAATACTACATCTGCTAAATCCACAGCAAGGAGGAGGTTGTACTACTCTAAAACTGGTACCACCACCACAACTGTCTGAGTTGACCATGGATACATCTGAAAAACTTTAGCCTCAAACTCAGTACCAAGAGTTGGAGAGGAAATGCCTCTTCTGTGTTGTGTAGTTTTTGCTTGTTTTCAGAATAACTAAGCTTAGCTTTCCCTCTTGGATACTTCAGCTTTGGGTTAGCATAGCAGCAGTGCATGATACATAGAGGGAAAAGTATTTAAATATTCACAAGAGTTTCCTTTTCCTGAAGGGAAGAAAAATACAGTTGGTGCAACCAAGATAACTGCCAAAGAATAGCAGAACTTTAAATACAGAGCATTGAAAAATGGTTAAGTGTGTTCAATACTACATTTGAATGTAATTCTTCTAATAATATTAAATGTTATTTTGAAATACCTCTTCAAATGCAGTTCTCATTTTTAGACTACCTTTACTGCTCACAGACCATCTTTATTTTTTTTCTGACTCTGTAAAAGCTCTCGAATTCGCTCTCAGTGTGTGATGGCTTAGTCTGGATCCCTACAGCTGTGTCTCTGGGCTGGCCCATGCACATCCCCACAGGGAAGGACTGTACCACCACCTCCCCAGTCTTCTCATCACAAGCCCCTCTGATGTCCCCATCATTCACATTCCTGAACTTTCCACCCTGAGATCTCAGTCCTGTGCTGCTGGGACAAGTTTCCAGGATTTCTGCACCTTGAAGAAGCAAGCAGAGCTACCTGGTGAAGGAAGTTGCTGCTGCAGAATCAGAGGATTGCTGACCAAGCGGCTGACAGGCACTGACCGCCTGTTTGGAGGAAGTGCCTCTCCCCAGGGAGTCAGGGGCTGCTGCTGCAGAGTGCATTCATTCTCTCTGCACCAGGGATTTCAGAGTTTCAGGCTCTGTGCGTTGGTATGTCCAGGTTAAATGCCCTGAAGGTACTGTCTCTTCATTTGAAAGGAAGAGAACTCTTCTGTACAAATGAGCTTGAGAAGGTGTAAGGCTAGAGAAGTATGGTTTCAATTACTTTGATGTATAAGCTGCTTTTCAGATTTCACTTTCTCCTGAGTCTTTGCACATCTTTCATAAGGTAGAGCAATGTATCTTGCACCTGAAAAGCTACTAATGTTCAGTTACTGCAATGATTTTCTAAATACCCAGTGTATGTTGCATGTTTGCTGAGGAAGGCTGTAGTGTAGACTGATTTAGTAATACTGAGGCACTGAATGCCTCCTAAGTACCTGCTTAATCAAATAAAAATTAGCAGGGCTGGTCATTTAGGTTTGGCACACCTCCATCTTTTGCAATTACTATCCCAGGGCAGCTTATCCACTTATTAAACCATAGCTGTCTCCCGATGCTCGGTTTCCAAAAATTCAGCAGGAGCTGATGGCAGCCGTGACTGCCCAGCGGACCAGGTCTCTTGGTTCTGCTCCTGCAAACAGAGCAAAGGAGTGGCAGGAGCAGGCTGATGGTGAAAAATGGTTGTTCGAAACTGACAGCACTTCCAGGTTAGAGGAGCCTGAGGTATGTTTTCCACGATAACTCCCAGAGCAGGGCTTTCACTGCAACCCCAGGGCTGCCAGTAATCTCCTTTATGTTTATGGGAAGGCTTGCTAGGCCCCACCTCAAAAATAATAAAAAAATAATCATGAATTATAGGCTTTTGTTGGAGAAAGCTTTTCAAGGTCTTCTGAAGGCTTTTCCTCAGCTAAGGGTGAGTGGCCTGTCAGGTTTCAGTCACCATGAATTGCTGTATCTCAGGCTTTTATTTTGGACCTTTTCTCCCGTGATGTGTACCTATATCTGTGGGTGGATGTTTGTTTTTCTCTCCAACCACAGTAACAGCTCCTTTCTAACAGCAGAACTATGAGATTATAGAATGAAAACCTGGGAGGATGACAAAGGGAGCTGGAGAGCAACTCCCAGCTTGATTACAATAGCCACCAGGGAGCTTCCCAGCTATAAAAGCATGTAAAACAATCGGTTATTTAAAGTTCTCCAGGAAGAAAATTAGTAGTCTGGACTCAAGGTAAGTAGCTATGTGCTGCTCAAAATACCTGCAAATAGCTGAAACAGTAACTTTGATGAAACACCTGAGGAATTTTCTGTGGGTAAATAGTAGGTGAAGTATGAATTCTGGCCTCTAGTCCTCTTGCATTTTGCAATGTTACCTGTATGCCACTTGATAGAACACAGGTGGTGCTAAACCTTCAATCAGGGAGGCTCGTGCTGAGCGTCTTTCTTAATTGTCTGACTTATTTCATAAATAAAGGCACTGGAATTTGACCTCAGTGCTGTCTTTGACAAACACAGGCCCGACCCAGTGGAAAAGGGGGAAGGGAGCTGTGCAATCTTTGTTATGCAAGTGTATCTGACAGACCAGCTGCGGTGAGCAAGGGCAATCAAAGCCATCTGATCAAACTTTTGGTCCTTACCGTGCATGCTGGGGCTTGCAGCTGAGCTTGTTCTGCTGGGCAAAAGCAAACAGTTGCAGGTCACAACTCTATTACTCCATCCCAATTATGCCTTTAGAGGGTGTGCTCACCAGCTAACCAGCATTACACTTCTGATCGGGTCGGAACAGATGCGATGCGATGCTACAGCTGCAGGAGAGAGCGTGGAGCAGCAGCGGGGTTTTATAGGACTTGTTCCTTCCTAGGCTGTAGATAAGGAGCACAGCAAAACACCCCAAGGAGAGGCAACACCTGGGTTACCTCACCTGGGGGGGATCTGATGATAAGGAAGCTCCAGGCAGCATCTTTCTTTTACAATAAATCACACCTTTAATAGTAACGTTTTGCTGACTCGGTGGGGTCTTTAGGTCATGTGGGCGTGTGTTTTTTTAACTATTAGGGCCTCACGAAGTTAGTTGTTTTTACTCGGAGGAAAAAGGGCGGCAGTGTCAGAAACGGGCATTTCACACAGGGGCGGCTGGGGCAGGTCTGGAAACTAGGGCACGAACCGTTTGGGACAGCTCTGCCCTGAAACAGGGAAAAAATATAAATAAAAACGGAAAAAAAAATAAGCGAAGGAGCCCCCGCCCTGCCCCGTGCCTCAGGCGGGGCGCGGGGCGGGGCCCAGCGGCCGCCCCGCCCCGCCCCTGCCCGGGAGCGGCCGGGCTCGGAGCCGCCGGAAGTGCGCGCGCTGGGCGCTCCCCGCCGCCTCCCCGCTCCCGGGCCGGCGCTGGCTGCGGCCCCCAAGATGGCGGCGAAGACGCAGGGCGGCATCCGCCTCAGCGCGGTGAGCGGCGCCCGGGCGGGGGGCTCCGGATCGCCTCCGGGCGGCTCTGCAGGGCCCGAGGGGGGCTGAGGGGAACCGGGGGGATCTGGGGAGCACCGGGGGAGGGCGGAGGAAGAGGAGGAGGGGAGGAAGGGAACGGGAGAGGGGAGGCCGAGAGAAGCGCCCCCCCCCCCCCCCCTCCCCCCCACCGGGCCGGGGCCAGGAGATGGCGGCGGGGGCCGGGGCCCTGGGGGGGGGGCCGGGGCGAGGCTCTTCAACGCCTCGGGGCGAAACGGGGCGCTTGTGGCTGTCGGGGTGAGTGTTGTGAGCCGCCCTGGGGATTGTAAACATCGCCGGGCCGCGGCAGTTCGGGGCCGTGGCCGCGAATCTGGGCTGGGGTCGTGCGCCGGGGGGGGATCTGAGCCGAGGGTCTCCTCAGGGACAGCAGCCGGCGGTGGCTGCCCCGCGCTGGGCAGAGGTTGCCCGCAGATGTCATCTGCCTGCAGCGCTGCTGCAGCCGCGCTTTCGGTTTGGCCCTCGAGCTGTCGCCAGGGGTTTGGACTGCACGGGCTGCCTGGTGCGCTCGGGCAGGGAAGGGCTCGCCCAGCTCTTCGGCTTCTCCTGCTTTGGGAACAGAGAAACGAGAGCTGTCCCGTGGTTTCAGTAGCTTTCTTAAAGGAGGGGAGAAATGCACCAGCATTAATACCTGTACTTGCAAAAACTGCATGATACAGGCCAGGCTGCAGTTTAGAACTGATCTCACTTTGGCAGACTTCTGCAGAATCTCCCCTAGAATTGGTGCAATAATTAACTTTCAGAGTTATTTTTAGGGTTCTGCTTATTTTTTTTGTCAGTAGTCATTACTTTAAACATACATTCGGTGTGTCTTCAGTCAAAGCTGTGATTTCTCCTTAAGTTTTCAGTAAAGAAATGAAGCAGCTGATACAGTTTCTGGTTTGCTTGTTCCTAACAGAGCCTTTTATACAGTTGGGCACTGTTTCCCAGAAAAAAAACAACACAAAACTGACAGTCACCACCTCTTCTGTCAGCAGCTGTGCTTTAGAAATACGTTGGGTTTCACCAAAACATTTTCATTGGTTTCAGAAGCATGCATGAACCGCACAGGTAGTGCAGGCAGGCCTGGCTGCTCGTTCCCACCCTGGCATTTATCTCTTGCTGTTGCTCTGGTAACGTGTTTTTTTTCTCAGTTGCGTGATGAGACAGATCAGGAAGTGATCCAGATTAAAAATAAGATTTAAAAAATTAGTTTTAATTTGGAGCAGTGCCATAATGTGGTTCGCTATGTTATCATGCAGCCGTGCTAGCATAACTGGCAGGGAGGCGGAAGGCATGTAGCAGGAAAGAAGGAAGCAACCTGATGGAAGAAAAGTGGGAGGAAGAGGATGGTAGCGGGGCTGTTCCCCCCAAAGTTGCAAAGTTCATCTAAAATACAAGACTGTTCAGTAGTTACATTATTTTTGCATGACTTGTACTCTTTAAGAGATGGGATAGTTGCATTTTTCTTGGAGCACCAGAATTCCCAAAGCTGCCTGTCATTTTCAAAGGTAAACTGCTTTGTTCTTTAATATTTGCTCATCGTAAATGCAGGGGACTCCTTAGTGCAGCTGAGTCTTTTTATAACATGAACCGTACGTGCAGTTTGAAGGAGGTGGAGGTTTAGCTCTGTGTTCTGAAGGGATTTTGCTGCACTTGCTTTCAGGATAAAAAATGAAGCAGCCAACCAAAACCCACTTGCTAACAAAATCTATTGGGCCCAGCGCTCAGCGCAGCTGGATCACCTCAGCTGCAGTCATACTAAAATAGCCCAAAGTGAGCGTTCACCTGGGGAGTAACTTTCTGACTGTATTCGTTGGAAATGCGATTATTCACAGAGCTAATTAAAGTAGCGATTTGATGAAATGAAGTGTTGGGGACAAAACGGGCTCCAGTAATTCCCGCTGAGCTCTCCCTCGGTTGTGCTGGCAGCCAGCTGGATGTGCTCTGAGGCAAGCTAGGGAGCTAATGGCCTTACGGTGCTTGTCTCCATTTTTTTTAAAGCTGTTTTCATCTTGTGTCGGTGTTTTGCAGCCCTGCATTAGCAAGCGGTGCTGTCTGCTGGGAGGCAGATGTTCCCACTAACCACCCTGGGGGATGCCTGCCTTTTGCTGGCGGAGCTTTAGAGCCAAGAGCCGGTTTCTGATGGTTCCCATGGCCACATCCGTGTCTTCTAGTTTCCCGTAACTGTTCACATTCCCACCATCGTGTATCACGTCTCAGCCTTTTTCAAAGCCTTATCAAATGAAGTAGTGTCCCAGGAGATCAGCACGCGTTTGTTTATAAGAGATGGGGTTTCCTTATGATGCTATTCTTCTCAACGTCAGCCGCTGGTACGCAGCAGTGAAGTGAAGGATGGAGAAGCTCTGTATTACTCAGGCACTCACTGCGTGAAGAGATTTTTTTGCTGGGCACACATCCACTTTGCTCTGTGGAAAAAAGGACATTTGGCTGTAAGAGTCAGTTTTAGTGGTGCCGAGGCTCCTTCTTTCATCAATGTTACTTGACCAGGGAGGGCCACAACTTTGAATTCACACCTTTTAAAACTACAGTCAGGACTTTTTTCCAAGTCAATATTGCTGAGGTTACAGTGCCAGTGGTTACTGTGGGGTCCCGGTCTTCCTTCTGCATGACAGGAGTCTCTCGCTGGCTAGCAGCAAAGAAATATTTAAGCAGTGAGCTGAGCAGATGCTAAATATTTGAATGTGTACCTGTGTGGGGGTGGTTTTGTTTGATTTTTTTTGTTTGTTTTGTGTTAGTATCATGTTTTGACAAGGAGGAATTTGGGGTTTGGAAGGGAGTGGGTGGAATCCAATTGTTCCTGGTGTATTTTGATTATCATCATTTTAGAAGGCAAAGGAACAAATGCTGCCAGTACTGTGAAAGGTTGAAGTGAAGAGAACAGATCCTTAGATCTGCTGACCCATGATATGGTACAGAATGAAACCGAAAGGTCTGCTGGAGCATGTGCCATGGTACACGTGAGGCTCCCAGTACTTGGCTCGATGTCATCTTGATAGATTCTGAATTGTTTGAAAGCATCTGGTGTGAACTTGAAAGGAGCACGGTGACTGGGGCTGGTTCGGTTTACTGGAGTTTATAAAAGTGGGATTTTAAAACACAGATGGCACTGAAGAATGTAGAGCCCACTCGTACTTGCAGCCTAGCTTGGTGGAGAAATAGAGGGGTTAAGCTGCAGTCTGAAAGCATGCTCTGCGCTCTTCGTGACCTTTGAATCAAGGTGAGATTTCTTGGCAATTTATGTTGATCCGAACCAGGGCTGCTGCTGCGCTCCCACCACGGCACTTGGCTCGCAGCTCTGGAACTTGCTCTTAGCATTATTCTTTTCTCTGATAAGTGGATTTGGAGACTTGAAGTGGTTGCTTGCGTTTATTTCGACTTTACTAATTATACGAAAGTGATTGTCGGTGTAGTAGTTCTGTAAAATGTATTAAGTGAGGATATGGGTGTACTTTATATATAAAATCAGAAAATATTTTAAAATATGGATTGTGTTTTCTGATGCAGCTGCACCGTACAAGGGCTTTTTCCAGTGTTGTGTATTCATAGGTACTGATTTTTATGAACATAACTGTGCCGGTAAGGCTTAAACATACACATGTATATGCACTGGGTTTGTGCTAAAGGCCTTGTAAAAGTATAATTACAGATATTTTAAGTGGTAATGCAAGTACAGCTATCACTTTCAGCAGTTATACTTTCCCCAAACGTTGCATTGACAAATCCTGAAGTTGTATGGATATCTACTGGTTTTCATGTTCTTTTGATCTAGGTGAATGCGTGCAAACCCAGGCTCTTGTGAATTACTTGAGAATACTTTGTCACTGACATCTGCAAGATGTGTCCCATAAACAAGTGTATTTTGCATGTTGTCATCTAATCCAAGTAGTGGCTGCATTCCTGTGGTAGCATCTGATCATAAGTGTCTAAAATCTCTGAGCTTGAATTGCCAACAGTATAAACTGCTAGGTGAGAAAGCCTGATGGGTCCCATTAACAGGTGATTTTGATCAACAAAGGCAAAAGGAGCAATGAGATAGCAAGTCACTGAGGGTGTGGGGTGCTGTGCCCTTTCCCAGATCCATACTTGTGGTTTAAGGTTTACATTTTTAATGTTTGAGTGCTTGTGTTTCTCTTGCTGGTTTTGGACTAAGGCTTTGATGTTTTTTGTAACTTCTTGTTTGAAGTACACAAACTAATGCCATTTTTTCTGGTTCATTTCAGCTTTGTCCAAAGTTCTTGCATACCAACTCCACCAGTCACACCTGGCCTTTCAGTGCAGTTGCGGAACTTATAGGTATGTGGATCAGTAGTTGCCTGAGTACTTGATTGTAATACCTCTTCTTCTTGTTGTAAAACTTTGTTTTTCTTCCCTTCAGGTAAGGAAACCCTGTTGTTATCATTCAGAATCTTACAGAAATCTTGTTTGGGTACAGTCAGACAGATTGACTTCATTCTTTCTTGACAGCATGTGTACTATCTGACATCTGTTGCGGGGGCCTTCTAGGACTTGGTATTTTCTTCTTACTGAGTTTATTGAAGCTTGCCAAATGCAGAGGACAGTGGGGCCAAGAGAATCCTTTCTCTTCTAGTCCACCAAATGCAGGCCTATTGCTCTTCACTGTTCCCAGTCTCAGCCAGCAGTATGACTGAGCACAAATTCCAAGGATGTGCCTGCACACTTATGTGCTGTACAGACACAGCTGGCGACAGGCAGTTTAGCACAGACTGAAGGACGATGGCTTTGCAAGAACCCACATAAACACAAAATGTGAACAGACCAAATGGCCTTGTTCTGTTCCTGTTTGATGGTTAACCACATTTAAATGTTGTTAGTGGCACATGCGCATTATTCTTGGTCACTTAACTCTCATATTTACCCACGTTTCTGGGTATTTTGCTAAGACCTGGAGTCCTTCCAGTTACTGTGTCCAGACTTTTTACCAGACTGGCTTTTTACCAGTCTCTGGCTTAGACCTTGGATCTCTGCAGTTTCTGGTTTCTTCCAGCTTGTTGACTTGTCCGTCTTCATGTTGGCTAGCAGAACAAATGCGTACAGGCACACATTCAGATTAGAGAGCACACTCATGTAGGAAATAGAAATAAAGTTTAGTGAGAACGTACAACAGAGTGGCAAAGGTTCCAACCGCAGCAGTGTACTGAACAGCTTTCACGCAGTCAGCCTGTGTTATTCCCACTCTTCCATCGCTTCCATTACCCTGTGTGTTTTTTCCATCCATTTAGACCTTTCCCTTTCCTTCACTTCAGTGTTTCCTCAAAATATCCACCAGTAATTTCTGCACATGGACACAGTATTTCTGAAACATCCTTATTTTATTCTTTTGGATTACGAATTTTCTGGTTGAACATCTTCAGGGTTACACTTGAGTGGTTCCTTTGAATGGTTGGTCCATCGATGTCCTAAGAATCCTGGTTTTTGTAATTGTCTCTATCATCTGCTGTTTGTTGGGGTTTGAGTGTGTTTGATCTATTAGCTCCTGTTTATTGTCGTGCTTTTTATTTTGAATAGCCATGGACTGGATATTCTCAGAGTTGTATGTTCCCTGAGTTGGGGGATGATTAGCTTACTTTCTCTAGCTGGTTTCTCGAAATAAAGGCGTGGTATGGAAAGATTTGCTCAGCTTATCAAGCAGTTTGCTTTTGCCAAAGGGAGCAACTCTTCTGGTCACATTCTTTAGCTTCCTGTGCTCTAGTTCTATCAGTTCGTAAGCCAGAAGAAAAGTAACCTAGCAAAAAAAAAAGAAATTTTCTGCTAGATAAGGAGAGAGTTGTCACAAGGAAACAAGAACCACATGACTAGCTGTTTCGGTGGTAAGTCATGACTGACATGTTAAGTCATTTCATCTGTCTTATGCCATACCTGTCTGGAATTAACACATTTGTGCTGTGCAAGGCTTGTGAGCTGCCTTCTTCCTTCCTTTGCCTCTCTTGTCATATGTTTTGCTGTAAAAAAAGGTACAGAAGCATAGTAGCAACGTGCTGGGTGTAAAGGCTTCTAGTTAGTTGATTTTGTAATCTGTCTTTCTCATGCTATGTGAGGCTATGCTATAAGCCAAATATCAAGCAGTAATAATAGCAATAGTAATAAATAACTTTACAGAGGCCTGAGATTTAGTTTAAGCTGTAATTCCTTTTATAGGCTGTAGGGTTGGCTTGAGCTGTTGGGTTTTGCCACTCAGTTGAACCTGCAAAACAGACAGGGAGGTAGGGATACTGCTTCCTACTGTGCAGTCACATCACAGCTCCCCCAGCCTCCAAATGCCGTGAGCACCACAGAGATGGTGGGAAGAGAAGCTAGGAAGCATTTCTAGTGCAGATGAGATTTAAACCAGCTTTGCAAACAAGAAATACCCGTGGAACCATGATTTCAGTTGCACTTAGAGTAGAAATGCTGCAGGCTCCTTCAAATCCAGTGAGTAGGAAGGATGGGGTATAGCATTTTATACTTCTCTTCTGTGAAAGTCTGAAAGTCACACCTTCTTAGATCTGAAAAACCTGTGGTAGCAGGATATATATTTGTGACTGTCAACTCTGCTGATAAAGAACCTATATGGTAGTAAAGCAGCAGTAATTTTTTTCACCTAATTTCCTGCACGTGTGGAGTCAAAATTTTAGCTTTCACAGAACAATCTGAGATGGGGGGGGGAAGGTGTTGGCTTCAGGTTTTTGTTTTCTTTTTTTAATGTCTCAAAGTTGATTATCTGAAGTTGTGATAGTACTTCAAAGCTGATTTCCCAATCAAAAAGCCTACTGCAGGTAAGATATTTTTGCTGCCAGGTATATTAGTGATGAGCTGTTGTCTGCATTTCACGCAGTAACCTGTCCTCCTAGAAGTCAGTCAGAGGAGGTGTTTGGGTGGATTGGAGAAAAGTGAATGTTGCAACAGCTGCTTGGGAAACAGGAAACAAAACTAGAAACTTGTCTGGGTTTTGTTTTCAATTTCAACCGCTCATTTCATTCTGTTTCAACCACTTGTCTCAGACTGAGTTTTTAACTGTATAGTACTGTTGTCTGGAATAGCTGGAGAACTTTGTTTTGTTTTCAGGCATGGTTTGCGGACTTCTGACGCAGCTGTTTCATTGTAATGTTTTGATCTAATGTTGTCAACTATAAAGAGGTTAATACTTTAGGAGACTTAATTTTTAGCGCATTTACTTATTTTAAAGCTTCTAATAATAATAATTAAAAATACATATATTTGCTTCTGTGTAAAACTTGGCTACTATTCAGTGACTTTTCTGAGAAATGCATCTCTGTGCCAGCACATGACTTCTGCAACTATTACGTACCTAACCGCGGAACTGAAAAATTGCTGCAATCTTAGAGCTCTGTTAGGATCTGCACAAATGCAGAATTGAGAGCCCATGATGCCGTATTCACCAAATAAAAGTTTGTGTGAGCACAGCATAATAATAAAGTTAGGGACAGCAATTCCTTATAACTGTTTGGCGGTGTTGCAAGACAAGCATTTGGTGGATTTTTTGTGGGGGAATACCTACCAGATGACACACTATTGCATGCCACATAAGCGTTTAAATAACTTTGGAAGAGTTGCTACCTGACATCTTCACTGGAATTAAGCACTTTAACTGTAAACATATTTTAAAGTGTTAAATTCTTGCAATTTTTTTTAGTATTCTGTTCTTATTTGCTTTTTTTTTTTTTTTGCCATCTTCAGATAATGCTTATGATCCAGATGTGAGCGCTAAGCAGATATGGATAGACAAAACAGTGATAAATGACAATATATGCTTGACATTCACTGATAATGGAAATGGTATGAACACAGAGAAGCTGCACAAAATGCTAAGGTAGATAACCCTCTTTTGCAATTTCTTTTCTTGTAAAGATTCCAATTTCTAGTCGTGTTATTGCTCAGCTCATTCCTTCCTATCATATGTAATCTACTAAGCTCGTTTTTAAATTAAGCACTTCTGAAGGTGAGTGATTATCCAAATGAGGTTCTAGAAGAGACAGGTGCTAGTATAGCTTTCATGCAGCTTTGGAGATGTATTTTATCTCCTAATTTCCTTTTATCCTTTATATAAACATTCCCACTTAATTTTCTGTGCAGGTGTTGTGCCAGGTAAACTCTGTAGTGTCCTTCAGTGGAGCTAAGGAGAATCATTTCCTCCTTCAAGCTTGCTTTAGACTAAATTAGTGAACAAGAGACAAAGGAATATTCAATTCAAACCCTTTGGAGTATAGAAAATAGAAGGTGTTCTGGAAAAGTTAAGGGAGTGGGAGTTAAATTGGTGTGGATTGTCATTTTACCTTTTAATATTCTAAAGAGTTGAACTGTTCTTTTTGCAGTTCCTGTTTCTACAGTTAGTAAAGAGGTTGCTGTTCAAGCTTCTTTAGTATAAAATATATTCTTCTGCCTTCAGTAAATCTCTAGGTTTAAACTTGAGGAAGTTTGACTTCAAATTACTTCCTTTTTCTATAAGGTATAATAATTAATAACTTACTTGTGAAATCCCATGCTCCAAACACAGTTACGCATTTTACTGCATTCTACTTTAAATGCAATGAGAAGTTACCAATGGAAAATTTGTAGATCAATTTTTAAGCTAGGGAAGGAAGAAAAAAACCCACAACCCGAAGGGGCTTTTCTCACAACTTATTGTGAAGCCATGGGGTAACTATTAGAAACCTGTGTGAAAGCAGATAATTCCAGGCATATGATATTTCTTATCGATACTTGAAAGATGAATCTACCTCTGAATTCTTGCACTGTGATTTTAGCAACTTTATATAGGTTGTATTTCTCCAGATTTATGTTAGCTGTTCATTGTTTAACTGCATGGCAGTACCTGATCTCTAAAACAAGAGATGAACTCAATGTGTTTAAGTCTAAGTTAATACATTTTGAATGCATCTTTTGGGTTTTCAAGTGCTGCGGGGCTTTTTACACTCTTTCAATGTATTTTTACATTTCAGCTTTGGCTTCAGTGAGAAATCTGTTATGAATGGCCGTGTTCCAGTGGGACTGTATGGAAATGGGTTTAAATCGGGGTCCATGCGCCTGGGAAAAGATGCGATAGTCTTCACCAAGAATGGGGAAACCATGAGTGTTGGCCTGTTATCTCAGACCTTCCTTGAGGTCACAAAAGCAGAGCATGTCATGGTTCCTATAGTGACATTCAACAACCAACATATCCTTTCAATAACTTATGAGCAAAAATTTGTGTATATATGCAAAACTTGGGTGATGACATCCTTGAAGGAAATCTCCTTACCTTTACAGATAACCTTCTACCCATCTTACAATTTATTTAGACTAATGTGTTAAAATCTTTACAGTTGTAGGAGATCTGAGATGTGGAATGAGAGCCTGTGAGAGGTAGAGGATTCTGTTGCCGAAGTTTGCTCATCTTTTGAAATTTTTTTTTTTCTTTTTAATTCAAAGTTATTTTCATTAACGTAATGCTTACGACAGATAAGTGATCCAACAGAATCCAAAAACAGCCTGAAGGCCATCTTATCACATTCTTTATTTCCTACTGAGGAGAAATTACTGGCAGAGCTAGATGCTATCATGGGGAAGAAGGGAACAAGAATTATAATTTGGAATCTTAGAAGGTAAGATGAAGTCCAGTCTCTTATCTCACATTTCATTTGTTATTTACTCAGTGTATGCAAATATACAAGGGTTGTTTTTTTTGTAGAGTAACTCCAAAAGACTGGAGAGTTAGCTGCAGTTGGGGAAACCAGACTCAAACTCATGTATCTGGAGGGTGGTAGTGTTGCATGAGAACTGTTGCTAATCTCAAATAGCAAAGGAGGAAGGAGAGTGTGAAGTACTTCATATTTCCCTTTGATAAAATACCGTTAATTTTGCCAGAAGAAAAACTGAAATAGATGAATTATAAATGTAGTATCTCAAACTGATGTGGCAAGATTTAGACCTTCCTAAACTTATTTACTGTTTGTTGTAATGTAAACAGAATTCCAAGTAAGTAGTTACTTATTTTCATCTACTTAAGTATGTGGGATTGTTTTCAGCAGTATGGATTTCCAACCTTTTCTAGCTTGGGCTTACTGCTTTTTTTTTTTTTTTTTTTTTTTTAATCTGTTGTAGCAGTGGCAGCTGGATGCCATCATTTCCCATCTTTCCCATTCCTCTCTTTCTTGCATGGTTGCTGCTGTCTTACTAGCAGGGAACCTGTTTGATGGTCTGTCTGGAAAAGCTTTATCACTCCTTTAACAGTGATAGAGATAATTGGTTGGGAGTGTACTTCCTTGTACTGTGTTCTTAAGTGTTCAGCTTACTGGAGTTTTAAATACCTAAAATAACGAGGTATCCATCAGAAGCAATTTTGAGCTGTTTCATGGTTCAGTAGATTTGGCAGGAAAACAGCTTGTTTTTCAGTTTATTTTCCTCTGTAGGAAAAAAAAAAAAAGTGTATCCCACCCAGAGTGGGATAACTACAGACAAAATGTTATAGGACAGTACATTATAGCAAATGAAAGTTTTTTTTTTTTTTTTTTTTTTCTTATTTCATTAACTACTTCTGTGTTTTAGGGACCTTAAAGCACCTTTAGGATAGTACATTTTAATGCAAGAAAGCTGAAGGTAACAGTCAGGTATTACTAATTTTGATCATTTCTCCTTGCCATGTACATCATAAGAAAAATTTTCTCTCTTTTACAGTTCAAAAACTAAGTTGTGTTATCCAGATAAACTTCCATTTATTTTTAAGAATGAGGACTTTTAGGAATGTGCATCACTTTTTGTATTTTCTTTTGTTCAAGAAAGAAAGTCAGCTAACTATGCAGGGTAACTTTCATGCTCTGAATTAGAGAGTCTTCATTGGAAGTTGTGGAAGAAAACACTTGAGGACTTTTTTTATTGTTGTTTGTAATATGCTGCAACTAAATCTACTTTCAAAAACTCAACAGAGCTGTTTCAATATTAATACTTTATTGCTGGAGTATTTTTCAAACTACGAAATATCAGAGTTATGCAAAACTTCTGTTAGTTGCAACTAAATAAAAGAAACCATCTGTTGAGCTCTGCAATAAGAAATCACAATGAAGTATTATTGAGTTAGAAAGTTGTAGTGTGTCACTTCTGCAGCAATAAAAACCTTAGGAAGGCAATTTTCAGCGTTAAGAATTCCTTGATTTAGAAAGAATGCATGCATCTTGGCTCATCCATTATTTACAGTTTATACTGGCTACTTTTATTAATGAAGCACAACCTGTTTAGAATACAATTAGAACTTAGGAAAGTTTCATTTGTTGTCTCTGCTCTCATATTCCTGGGGTTTCAAAAAGAAGCTGGTGAATTTGTGAATTTTAACGGGTCTGTGAAGAAAAACACTAAAGGAATTCTGTTTCTTTCATCTTTGTGATATATTCTGGGTTCACCTCAATATCTTTTTTTTTCCTTTTCATAATTACTATATTTTTATCTTATTTCTTAGAGATAAAAATGAAAAAACGGAGTTTGACTTTGACAAGGATAAATATGACATCAGAATTCCAGAAGACTTAGATGAAACAGGGAAAAGAGGATATAAAAAACAAGAGAGGCTAGATCAGATTGTTCCAGAAAGTGACTACTCACTACGAGTATGTATGCTTTTTTCATTTATTTGTTTTGTGGAAAGTGAAAGATGTGCGCTTCTGTTTTAACATCATATACCATACTTCAGAGGTGGTGATTGGAAACAAAAAGAAAGACAAATGTCTATAAATGTTAAGGCAACGTGTCGACACTATTTGAAAAACATGAAACATGTTTGTGGACTTGTGTAAACACTTGCTGTTTTTTCAGAAGAAAATTACTGTTTTTGATGACTCTTCACAAATAAACTTTTGCTAGTTTTCAGCTGGTGCAGTGTCCATTCTGCATTTCAAAAGAGATCAAGGAACTGGGAAGCAGTTCCAGTAGAAGACCATGTCTGCAGGCTAATTATTACAGTTTATGCTGTTGATCCCATAGCCTTTGAAGGTGATTTCTTTTTTTGTAAGAAAGTGCACCTGGAAATACTAGGTGTTCTGGGCACTTCTTTTGAATAATATTCAGTAATATTGTTCCAGTTGAAGTGCAACGTTCAATTATTCTAAGACTCATTGAAGTCATAAATCCACTTCAAATACTGAAGGTGTAAATATGATGAATGAAAGGCAGACTAAAATTCATGGATTGACACGCCCATGAGTAAGCTGTGTAGTTTGATAAGGCAGTCATTTGGAACAAAGTTAACAATTGCCTTTTCTTTTTTTTCTTTTAAAGCTTGTAATAGAATATTAAAGATCTCAGTAGGGAATAAGAATACAGGCTTTTGCATCTGAGCATGATTGAGAGCTCTTAATGATAAAAGTGCGTCTTCAGACACCTGATTAACTTGTCATGTTCATAAAAGTTCTCCTTCAATTGGAGTTCATGTGATTTTGCACACCCTAGGCACACTTGCATTTCCTGGGTTTTGTGGATTCAAGTGTGTGCATGTGGGGGGACTTGACACAAATGAGTTCATAACATTTTAATGAAAACCTGGGATAGTCTTTCCAACATAGTGTGTATTGTAAAATACTCATATCTTGATGTTTTTTTTTATTGGTGTGGGTTTTTTGGGGGGGATAGGGAAGGTCTTTTTGTCTTTTTGAGTAACAGGAATTACTGTGTGTTTTGCAGGCTTACTGCAGTATTTTGTATCTGAAGCCAAGAATGCAGATCATTCTGCGAGGACAAAAAGTAAAAACACAGCTGGTTTCCAAAAGCCTTGCTTTCATTGAACGTGATATATATAGGCCAAAATTTTTGAATGTATCCTTTGATAAGTCACAGTGGCATCGAGTACACCCTCAGCAAGTTTGCAGATGACACCAAGCTGAGTGGTTCAGTTGATACCAAAGAAGGAAGGGATGGAAGGGCTGCCACCCAAAGGGACCTGGACAGGCTGGAGAATTGCACCCATATGAACCTAATGAGGTTCAACAAGTCCAAGTGCAAGGTGCTGCACCTGGGTTGGGGCAATCTCAGGCATGAGCAGAGGCTGGGAGAGGAACTCCTTGAGAGCAGCCATACAGAGAAGGACTTGGGGGTTCTGGTGGATGAAAAGCTTGACATGAGCCAGCAGTGTGTGCTTGCAGCCCAGTCTAGAGGAGGGCTACAAAGATGCTCAGAGGGCTGGAGCACCCCTCCTATGAAGAAAGGCTGAGAGAGCTGGGGATATTCAACCTGGAGAAGGCTCTGGGTACGCCTCATTGTGGCCTTTCAGTACTTAAAGGGGTCTTATAAAAAAAGATGGAGAAGGACTCTCTACTTCGGTAGATGATGATAGAACAAGGGGGAGTGGTCTTAAACTAAAAGAGGACGTTTAGACTAGATGTTAGGAAGAAATTCTTCACTGTGAGGATGGTGAGGCTCTGGCATAGGTTTCCCAGAGGAGCTGTGGATGCCCCATCCCTGGAGGTGTTCGAGGCCAGGCTGGATGGGGCCTTAGGCAACCTAATCTGGTGGGTGGCATCCCTGCCTATGGCAGGGGAAGTGGAGTTAGATGATCTTTAAGTTCCCTTCCAACCTAAGCTGCTCTATGATATAACAATAGCTTACATACAAAGTATGTATTATGTTTCCATTCTGCTGGGAATGTTGCAGCTATTATTTTTTGTAGTGGTGTTGTTTTTTGTTTTGTTTTTGTGTTGTTTTTTTTTGTAATGACATACTAAAGAAATTGTCTCAGTATATTTAAAAATAAAAAGAAATTCAAGGACCCAGTTTAGAATGAGCACTCAAAGTAAATACAGTTTTGTGTTACAAGACATTAACCAGACTTTTCCTTAATATCTGGTAAAAGGCTAAAACTGTAAGAATTACGTTTGGATTTAACTGCAGAAACAAAGATCATTATGGAATCATGATGTACCATAAAAACAGACTCATCAAAGCTTATGAAAGAGTTGGCTGTCAGCTAAAGGTAGGAATTTAAGCTGAAAAATATTTTAACATCATTACAAATCATTCTCACTCCAATGCTGAAATGCTGGTTTCTTTTTAAGAGTACAGCTGGAAACTAGTATATTGATGCAGCTTTTTTAATAGCATCTTACTTTACTTTGCACCTCTGTTAAAAATTGCATTAAATTGTATGCAGTTGTCTTTATCCAGGGGAGGTGTTTTGTCAAGAGTTGTGGTTTGGGGGGGGGAGGGTGGTGGTTTCTTGGAGACTGGTGATAAGCAGAAAGTTTTTTACTTGTGTATATAAGTTACGATTACCTTTGACAAAGTCTTACGGTTTTAGCATGGAATTTGGTGTGTCTTTTTTTTTTTTTTCTTCTCCTGATAGATCTTAATCTCTTTCAGGCAAATAACATGGGTGTTGGTGTAGTTGGAATTATTGAGTGCAACTTCCTAAAACCAACTCATAACAAACAAGATTTTGATTACACAAATGAATACAGGTAAACATGTATTTTTTATAAGCTTTTTGTTGAATACTGTCATTCACTGTGAAATACTTGACCATAAAAGGTTTCTTAACCTCTTTAGTAAGAGTGAATGGTTATATTCCACCATTAAACTGCATGATTGTTCCAAACAGTAGGGGTAGGGCGTTCACATCTATGCTGGTCGTGCTGCATTCATTGTGCAGTCGGTGAAATCAAGGCTATGTATGACACATGCCATTTTAAAGTGCGTGCCTTTAGAAGTGGTTGGATGCAACTCTGCCCTTTGCTGATTGTAGAATGAGCCCACAATCGCTAGCTTGAGGCTGCTTGTGTAGTAGATGACTAAAATTGTGAGGTATGAATCCCATACTATTAACTACTCATAACAGTTTCTTAAGCAGTTTTCTGGACATTTTTGAGCTGTTCTTTTCAGTTTCTTTTGTAAGTGTGGATTTGAATGTCCTGAGGTCCTTGTCTACCTGACAGAGCATTTAAAATACAAGATACCCTAAAGGCAGCTGTGATCGGGAATGTAGCTTCATTCCAGTTGTTATTTCTAGCTCAGGGCTGCTGCTTCTCACATCTGCACCCATCCCATCAGTCAGTATGTAGTGTGGTATTTCTTTTGGTTGCTCTTTGAACCTGATTGAGAATCTAGTCTGATTTGAAAGAAAAAATAAAAATCAGAAGTGTTTTTAATCCAGGTGAATTTCCTAGCCTGTGTACACTGCTTTGCTGTGACTTGGTTGTGCTGGCATTACGGGAGGCATGGAGGGAAGGAAGGGATGGAGGGTGTGAATTATCTAAGAAGAAAAGCTGTCCAGGGAAAATGTTCTAGGTGCAAACCTTGCGAGTTTTTCTACTCTAATTTCTTTCCTTTCATGATGACAAGGCTGTTTTCTGTGTTGCTTCATATTAAGGCATATTAGGAGCAACCACCTCCTCCAACAGCCCTGTCCCAGGCCTCCCTCCTGCCCAGCCTGGGGACCCAGGCTCTCTGCACAGGCTGCCACTTTCCCATAGGCAGGCTGAACTGGTAGGGAAGCTGAGCACGTATCCCTGAGATGCAGCCACACAAAACGCTGATGTGGCTGGTTACACACACACATGAAAAACATGGACATAGACAGCCAAGTACCCTCCTGTCTCCTCAACTCATAGAGATTGAAGGTCCCTAGTGATGGCAGACATGTGACACTTTATATTCACAAGCAGACACAAATTCACAGATCCCTTGAGTACTGTCACATTTGCATGCTTGTCCCACAGACACACCATGTTCACAAGTGCCCACGGATATACCACCATAGACCCTTGCTCACTTGATACCTGGCCTGGAGCTGGGGCTTCCTACTCACTGGAAATCCAGCTTGTAGTTTGCTGGTGAATACACGTGCATATCCCCATGCACACCAAGCCTGAGGAAGGTACAGACACCTTCCTCCACACACCCCCAACAACTGGCACCAGGCGCGTTGGCTGTGACCTGCAGCCCTATTCCAGCATCTGGCATGGAGCACCATACTCCCAATGGTCCCACACTTGCTGCTTTTTGTGACAAACGGTGTTCCCACCCCAGTAACTGGACGTTGAAGACCCCAACACTCACTCCAGTAGCTGACTACAGGCCAGGGGTGACCACACACCCAGTCTGACTCCAGTAGCTGGCACCAAATCCATTCACAGTGGTGCCCCCCTGTACTGGCACTTTGTGCCCAAAATCTGAAGGACCCTCCTTTGACTCCAGGAGCTGTGGCCCATCCAACCACCAAGGACCCTAGCTTACTCTGGCAGCCAGCACTGCAGGATGAGGTGCCCGCACCCCAAGTCTTACTCCAGTAGCTGACACCAATTTCCACTCTCATGCATGGATCTTACCAGCATCTGGCATTTAGTCCTTGCAGGGCACATACACGATGCAGACAGAATGCAACACAGAGATAGCTAAGACTTAATAAGGGGATAGGAAATACTTCAGGCATCAGGTGCAGACATCTGTTAGCCAAGCATGCTGATAGTCCTTGTTTTATGTGTAATCTGAACTCTTTTTATACCCTTTTTTGTTTAACTCCCCCATTTTTGCTCCCTCTTCCCCTGCACGTTGCCTCATTAGTTGGCATAGTTCCCCTGACCTCCCTCCAACTACCTAGGCCTTCAGGTTTGCATCCTTACTGGTTTCTTGATAAGCCTGTCAATTAGTGTGACTGTCCAGGGTTGTTTCAGTTAATACTAGTCGGTTGGGTTTTACGGTTCTCTGTATTTATCTCCTTCCCTTTCCTCATCCTCCCAACCGAAAAAATAAACATTCTTACACTCCACATGTGCTTAACAATTAGTGTGACTGACCGGGTTTGTTCTTATCACCTCCTCCCTTATCATGTGTCAGTCAGGTCTGCCTCTGTGCTTGTTTATGGCTCCTTTGACCAGACATGCTTAAAGGAGCAGATTTCCCTTCTGCCTATCCTAACACTTGGTTTTAACGTGGACCTAATTTGGGGGTATTGACTTGCAGACGTAGGTGGGAGTAGACTTTTTGATAGGAGAAGTCATTAGCTTTTTCAAGCTGTGTGTTTTGCCCTTCAACCAGTTGTTGGTGTTCCCCTGACAAGGACAGCTGAACTGTCCATGGAGCTCTTCCCAGTTTGCTGATTTATATGCAGCTCTGCTTAGAAAGGTAACCCAGAAACCTCATCAGAGTGCTGTCACAAATTAAGCTGTTAATTGTAGCAGTTTAGACTTCCCCTGCTATAGCTCCTGGTCATTCCTGCTGTTGAAACAACATCTCTTAGTGGAGAAGGAGCAAGCCTGATAGTTGGGAAGATGACTGTTGCAGCCACGACAGTTAATCTGCCTGTGTTTTTAAGTAGTACTCACAGCACACTGTTTGCAGTCTTCCTTGCAGTGATACTGCCAGCTTTAAGCAGTCCCTGCGTCTGCCGCTGTTACACGAGCAGAGCTATTGAGAACACATGTTAAAGCAGACCAGGGAATCATTCTAACGATAACATAGCTCTTGTGCTCGTTTTTAAGTACAACTGTTCCCTGAACCGTTTCCTTTGTGGTTGCACTAACAGTTCCTTTGACAGAGGATATGCTATAGGATAGTCGTTTGTGTTAACCAAATTTTACACTGTGTTCCCACAGGCTGGCACAGTGAGCATTGAATGTTTTACTTGGTTTTTGATGGCTTTTTTTTTTTTTTTTTTACTTGTAATATGGACATGGAGGTACTTAAAGATCTTTGTGTATAGGTCTTTCTACAAAGATTGCTGGTACAGGTTTTCAGAAGCAGCCCAGAACAGAAATGAAAACCTGAGGCTGTAATTTGGTGATCAGTGTAAGCTGACCTGTCTCTCTCCCCTCACCGAAAGAGACACGATTCAGTCCAAGTATTGCTGCTCATTTCTGCCCTTGTGCTACTTCCTTTTTCTGGCACCAAAATTCATGACTTGGGTTTGGAGGTTATCCAGATGGAAGCTTTCTAGGCCAGACTAGGTCACTGCCGAGACATTTGTGTTAGTTCAAAGCATGGGGTTGTGTAGGTATTGGAATAAGCTGGGAGGGGAGGGACTGGCACACAGTCTCTGGTTTTCCAGTCACTTAACTCTGACGTAAATCAGCATGCTGATAATAGGCGGTCTTACCCTTACCTCACCTGTGGGGCTCGTTGATCCTCTTCCACACCACTCCTTGCTGTGTGCCAGCTCTGGCAGTCGTGCCACTGCATGATAAGTCCTGATCAGGAAACTAATCCAGCTAAAAATGAATATAGGGGAAAACTGGCCTGCTTCTTTTACCAGCATGTAGAGTATATACTACACTAATGTGAATGTATGTAGTATTGCTGTAGGTCAGTTTATAGTAGTCATGAAGCTATAGACACACGCAGCCAAATACCCGCCTCAGTGACAGGTTGACAGAGGCAGTTTGGTATCATGATTTTTGTAGGATTGAAGCTTAGCTGATGATTTGGCTTCAGGGTTTGCACTGTACATGCACAGTGCTTCTGAATCAAGGACTCGCTGTTTCAGTTTAAAACTGTCTTTGTGTTCCAAGTAAAATTTCTTGTGATTTCCTAGCTGACAAACATGACTTCTCGCAATTCTGAACTTCTAGGGTTTGCTAAATGCAAAAAGCTCACTGTTGTGCAAAAGGAAATACTCATGTTCATATGCTTATTATTTCAGCGTAGTTTTAACAATGTTATTTCTGTTCTAAAATTTTATTATTTAAGGTGTTTTTAAAAACTTTTGGTTTTAGACTCACAATAGCGGCTCTCGGAGAAAAGCTTAATGATTACTGGAATGAAATGAAAGCAAAGAAAAATGAAGAATATCCGTTAGCTTTGCCAGTTGAGGAGATCCAGTGAGTATCACTTTTAAATAGAAGAACTTTATATACTGTTATTACTATGTTATGCTCCATCACGAAAATAACCTTTTATTGTAAAAGTTTCATTTTTTTCATTACAGAAAGCAGCCTGATCAGACGTGGGTACAATGTGATGCATGTCTGAAGTGGCGGAAGCTTCCAGATGGAATAGAGCACTTGCCAGAAAAGTGGTACTGCTCGCTGAACCCTGATCCACAATTCCGGTAAAATCTGATTTAGATAAATATCAAACTATTGCTTTTACTTTTTATTATATCACCTAATGTAAGTATGTATGCTAAGTTCTTTATATTGCCCTTTTTTCCCTTAACTCAGGGATTGTAATGTGCCAGAAGAACCAGAAGATGATGACTTAATACATCCCACGTATGAGAAAACTTATAAGAAAAAGTGAGTACTAGAGACTGCCTTGTAAGTGTGTCCACACTAGAAAAATAATGTGAAAGCTAAACACCGTTTTCTTTCACCTGTTGTATGATTGCAACCATTCTGGGAACATATCCATCAGAAAATAGCGCCCTGCAATCAAGACCTGATCATAGCAGTGACTAGCTGAATAGTATTTTTCTTCTCTCCATTGTTAGCATGTTGACAGGACCTTCAAATTTCTCTCTTTGACTAATGCTTGTTTTCCATCTTAAGTAAAAATTAGAAAGTTCATAGCAGAACAGGTCCCTCTCATTTAATAACTAGTGAGGTGAATAGTGCAAGAAGCTGGTGTTCACTACGGTTCTCAGAGGGGTGGTGTTCCATAGTAGTAAGCAGTATGAGGATAGTTCGTGATGTTAGAGAGAAACAGTCCCTTCAGTCCCTTATATCCGTTAGGAGCCCTTGTCTAGGTAACTGTTTTCAAGGCCCGCATCGAAGCAGCTGAATACCTCATTGCATTTATTTAAGTAATGGGAAGATTATTAGCCAAGGTGTATGCAAAAAAAATGATTTGAGCAATTTTAATGAATTGCTGGTTTGCATTCTAGAAGACTTTTTTTTTTACTGGTTTAAACAATTTTTAAAAATAAATCTTAATCTCAGAGAGAACTTGTTTGAAGTTAGGCTAAATTTAAACTACAGTAGTTTCTAAGATCATGCAGAAAATTTTCATTCAGTAAAGTAGAATATGTTAGAAATGTAGCTAGCCAAATAATGTGTATTGTGTTTAGTCTTAGATGTAAGTTGATCTGGTTTCACAATGAATTAACACTTTGAATCTAAGCTCTCTTTTTTCTTTTTTCCTTGCTCCTGTGCAGAGACAGGGAAAAAATGAAGAGACGGCTGGACTACGGTCACCAGGTAACTTGGCTGAAGTCGATAGGAAACTGACGTTGGTAACGGAGTTATTCTTTCTGGCAACAGTAGTCTGCAGTTTGATCCAGTAGGCCAGGCTTTGATTTAGGTTGCCTTAACTAGTGGTCAGCTGATTAGATCAACAGCCTGTTTTGTTTTGATGGTAATATAGGCTATATTCACTCTTAGTAAACCAAAAATCCCCTATCTTTGCTGTCCAATGATAGGAAATGCACCATTGAGTGCTATTCCATACTGAACAAAGAGTTTGAAGGGGACAAAACTGCCTCACGAAATAGTACTAGAAAAGATGTCAGTAAAGGATAGCTATTTTTATGACGTGATATCTGATTGTTGAAAGTGGGTTTGTTGTAGAGGGAAATGTGATGAGACAAAACCAAAGGTTTTATGGGGAAAAAAAAAAAAGTTGGGGCTGTCGTAAGTGTAGAACTTGTAGTAGCTGTATTTTTGAAAGCTTGTGTTGCAAGGAGGCACTCAAATTCAAATGGAATGCAGATGGAAATCAGAAAGATTTAGTAATGGACATGTGTAGATAGGAAATTTGTTTCTGAGTTACAAAGTGAGATTTAGGTTGTTCTCTAACTGTTAACCTCAGATCACTCGATTTCTGGAGAAGAGATTTTGCATTTGTTAGTTTTAATCCATCTACTTCATTGTATTAATTCTCCTGCAGTTAATTTTATCCAAGTAGAGAAGTAATTTCTAAAAGTAAAATGGTTTTGTTCATTTTGGACAAACTGAATTAATTATGAGCAACGTAACAGAAACGTCTGTCCCATATTTTGTGTATGATGGTCAGGCTTCAGACATAGCTACAGAGCTGCTTGGAAAAAACTCTTCCCCAGGATTCTACATGGTACTTAAAAATAGCTATTTCTGTTTCTATTCTTCTATAGAAGGACTTGTAAGATCAGAAAGATTTATTGCCAGAAAGCAGCTGTGCATGGGGAGGACTGTGCAGCTGGAGTCCTCTGAGAAGCAGCAATTTGTAATTAAGATATAAAAAAACCTTGCTGCTTTCTAATATTTCTATGCTTAAGATATGCACTAAAAAGTAAAATTAAAACCAGCATTGGAGAGACACAAAGGAAACAATAATTGATACAGATCAGTAGAGTTTAGTTGTGTTTTTTGTTGTTATTCTTTGCATATGTGATTATTAAGCTGAGGAAACCGAGGTTTTTAAAAGGAGTCTAGTCCACCTTTCTTATTGCAAAATATTGAGCCAGGGGTCAAGGGGATTGCTATATGGAGATGTATATTGCAATACATATGTTGTGTACTGCAAGGATACAGAAGCAGAAATGTCTAAGTGTTTTCAGATAGTTAATAGAACTACCTAAACCTATTCTGAAGAACTTACTAATATCTCTTTCCATTCTTAACTAACATTATCTTATAGATCAATAATGAAATGTTTTTAAAAACACCTGTTTCCTCAAGTAAAGACTTTAAAACGTTCTCAGCTGTGAGTGGAAAGGAAGCTGTTCCAAGAGCACTTTTACCAGAAACATCAAATGCTTCTGTCAGAAGACCTCTGCTTGTTTCAAACAGATCAATATCTTCACCTCATTCTGATTCTGACAACAGGTTAGTGAACCTATACAAAATAGAATCCTATTTATCCCTAATAATTTTTTTAATGGAAGTGATGGTGTAGTGTATAGACCCATCTTTGGGTCACAGCTGCCAAAGTTTGTATGTCACTTCTGGTACTATAGGGAGAACCACGTTAATTGAAGATACCTAGAAACCTTGTCAAGAAGAAAAAGGAAAGCAGCAAAAAACCACGGTGTACTGGCAAGGAAAATTGCTTAGTGGTTTGTCTTACTTTAGGAAAAGGCTGCATTGTGTTAAGCTCACTCTACAGTATGTTTTACTTAACCTCTGTTACAGGTCTTCTATATCCCTAAATGTTGAGTCTGTCTCAAAATAATGTATGAAAGTAATAACCTAGTGGGAATGTCAGCAATTGTTTTTACAGGAAAGGTATTTATTGTGTCTACTGACCTTAAGATGTGCTGCAGGGAGACATCTCTTTCTACTGAGTAGCAGTTTTGAATTGTGCTTATAGAAATGCTAAAACATAGTTTAAAACAAATGACTTTGCAGTATTTGAACAATACAGTAACCAATTTAATATTTTCTTCCTCAGTCTGAAACGGAAGACACCTGGCTGTGTCACACCTGTGTCTTTAAAAACACCTAGATTAAATGAGAGAATATTCAACAACCATGATGATGACGATGATGTCATTATTTTAGAGGAGAGCAGCACTCCAAAGCCTTCAGCAGATTCTGATGTTCCAGTGGTAAAAACTGAATGTATTAATGTGGACCAGGATGAGAAGCAGATAGAAAACTGTGATGTCGGAGAACCTTGCAGCGCGACTGCTTCAGATTCAAAAAGTGAACAGTTGACCTCTGCAACACAGACGGATGTCCCAAATTTAGTGGTTAAAAAGGAAGAGATGGAAGATGAGACTGAAATTCCAATTCCCAGTGTAGAAGTGGAAATTAAGCAGCACAATGTAGATTCTGAGACATCTGCAGATCTTGGAAATGAACTGAGAAATCAGCTGCAATTAGTAAACAAAGAAAAAGAAATGTACCAAAACAAATGTGAGGTATTAACCAAGCAAGTAGAAACACTGGAACAGAGGATACTAGAAATGAATAATAAGTATGTGAAAAAAGAAATGTGCCATCAGTCAACTGAGACAATTTCTTCGTTTGCAGAAGAAAATGTTCATGAAAAAAGTTTGGCAGAAGTAAGCGTGCTATATGAACAGGCCTTAGAAGAAATAGCAAAACTAAAAGAACAATGCAGTACTCTGCAGAACTTAAAGACTGAATGCAGCAAGTGTGCTGATGGTGAAAGTAAGAGTGAGGTCGACGAAATTGCTGTACAGCTAGACGACGTTTTCAGGCAACTGGACAAATGCAGCATTGAGAGAGACAGTTACAAAAGTGAGGTATGTTTGTTAAAATGGGGATATGCTTCAAAATGACAATTAAAAATGTAAATTTCCATCTTCTTGAAGGGGTGTTTCATAGCAGTCCTAGTACTTAACATGTTGTTTAGTTAAATTCAGTCTATTAACTAATCAAGACACCTAAAAGGGGCTAATTTAGTCTAGAATCTTAGGGGTTTTTTGCTTCCATTGATAGAAAAAAAGCAAACCTGAGAGTCTGACAAAGTTGGTTTAGAGTGCAGTGTGTTCAGCTGGCTGCACAAAAGCAGTTTGTCTAATTTGCCATATTGTAAAATTTCCCTGAAAAGTTAAATTAAAAGCAGTCAACAAATAGTTTTTGGTTATATTTAACCGCCACAAATTCGTATGATGTGTAAAATTATTTATTTTGATTTAATTTCCAGATTGAAATGCTACAAGTGGAAAAAAATAAAATTGCCTGTCAATGTGAAGAACTCAAAGCAGAAATCGCACAGTTAAAAGCTTCAATTCCGCAAGCGGTAGCACGAGCAAATGATTCTACAACCAGTAATGTAGAAGAGACTGTAAATTTTTCTGACGGAGAAAGGTATCAATTTTGTTCTTTCTAGATTATATCAAACAAGATTCTGTTTGGTTGATTGTATCTGAAAGACCTTGATTGAAGGTCATGTCTGATAATCGTATAATAAAACTTGGTGTTTGGAATTCTTTTCTACTGCCTTTTGTGACTCCCAGCTCAGTAACATTCATGCTCCATCTCTTCGTCAAGTAATTTTTTTTAATGGTTCAGGTATTTGTTTGAGCAGCATTGACCATTGCACAATAGAATCCCCTACTGACACTTCTTTAAATATTGACAATGTTGTAAGATAATTTCTAGTCACAATTTACAGAACAAGAAAAGAGAGAAAGAAGGCAAGAAAGAGGGTGATCATTAGTATATGCTGTATAGATGAACTTCGCTTTTGCATGCTATTTTTCTTTCTTGAATCATCTGTACCCTGCTGGAAAGAGTGTTTTCAATTTTGGAACTGATTTGTCCTCCCATATAACAACTTGCTGCAGAGCAGTCCTATGGAACTAGGTCATCTCCAGGGTATATCTTGGCACTAAACAGGAGTTTATGCTTTCAAGTCAAGATTTTGCTGCTCTCCATTAGTAGAAATAAACACACAAAAGGAGCACATGCACGAGGTGGAAGGAAGGATGATTAGTCCAGCAGGAATATAGACACACTGCCTGAGCATGTCAGATGGAATTGAAAGCCAAAGCTCAGCTGGAGTTAAAACTAGTAAGGTCTGTCAAGGAGAAGCAAGAAGGGCTCCTGTAAGCACAGTACCAGCAACTGGAAAACAGAAAATTATGGGCCTGCTGCTCTGTGAGGCAGAGGCCTTGTGGACAAAGGATGTGAGGTACCTGAGACACATCACTGAAGTACTCAGTACCTCCTTTACCTTCATTTTCACTGGTGAGGGCTGTCCTCTGGCCCCCAAGGTCCATGAGCCTAATTGTTAATTGAAGCATTGCCTGTAGGAAAGGGTGACTGAATTATGGGATCACTTCAGCAAATTCAACACATGCAAGCAAGTCTGTGGAACCAGGTGACAAGCATCAGAGGGAGCTGATCAACTGAGAGTTGGCCTTGTGATGAAGTTTGTGGCAGTCAGTTGTGTCCAGAAGTTGGTGGCAGTCAATTAAGCTTCCTAATGCCTGGAAAAAGGCAGTTGTCATGCCCGTATTCAGGACAGGCAGATAGGAGGATCTGAACTACAGACTGGTCAGCATAACCTCAGTCCTCAGGAAGACAGTGTACAGATCTGCCTGGATGCCACATGCAGCCTCACAGTAGTCAAGGTGATCAGAAACAGCCAGCGTGGATTTACTGAGGGCAAACAGTGCCTCTCCAGCCTCATTATATGTTACAATGAGATGACCAGCTCTGTGGATAAGGGGAAAGTGGGCCTTCATTTTAGGAAAGTCTTCCATGGGGGCTGCCATAATATCATAACCAAAATTTGTGAGCTATGATTCGGATAGGTAGAGTAGGAGGTGGGTTGTAAAACTAGCCAGTCCGATAAGTTTGGGGATCAATATCAAGGCCAATCATTGTTAATGCCTTCATTAATGGCCTGGATGGCAGCAAAATGAATTTGGTAGATTCTCAGTGACACCAGATTGGAGGGGGACCACCGATATGCTGGAAGGTGGGGATGTTGTTGAGGGACCTCAACAAGTTGGCTGAAAGAAACCTCACAGAAGTTCAACAAAGCCGCAGTGACGTTTTTCAGCTGGGCTGGGAACAACCCATGCAGTTGAACAAGGTGGAGGCTCCTCCTGGGCGGGTTGTGGGGGATTAGAGGTTTGAATGTGAGTCAACAGTGCGCTCTTGTGGTGGGAGGGCCCGGTGCCTGCTGGGCTCTGCTGGCGAGAGTTCAGCCTGCATTTCGAGGGAAGTGATTGTTGCCCTCTGCTGGGCTCTGTGAGACCAGACAGAGTGTTTGGGGCTCCCTGGTGTATAAAAAACACCGGCCACTGCAGGGCACCAAGATAATTAGGGGCTTGAAGCATCTGATATACAGGGGGATGCTGAGGGAAATAGCCTTAAGAAGAAAAAGCTGCCTTGAGATCTGGTTTCTCAGTGCTTTCTTCTGCAGCTGGATGTGGCTGTAGAAAAGATGAAGCCTGGCTTCTGGTGAGCACAGCGATGGGATGAGAGGCGATAGAAACAAGCTGCAAGAAAAGATTCTGTTTAAGCTTTTTTTCTTATATCCACAGTGAGGGCAGTCAAACTCTGGAAAAGGGACCCGGGGAATCTGAGGAATCTCTGCCTGTGGAGATTTTCCAATTTGATTTGAGTTAGCCCTTCTTTCAATATGTGTTGAAGGGAGTGGATGACCTCTAGAGACCCCTTTCAACCAAGTTTTTCTGGGGTTCAATTTCCCCTTCACCTGCCAACATTTCATTTTCTGCTTACTGTATCTGACTGGAAGAATTAGCAAATACATGCATTGCTTGTGGTGGAAGTTACAAGTGCTACTGGGATTTGATGGCACCATGAAGACAGGCTACTAATAAAGGATAGTGATGGTAGAAGGAAATGCTCAAGAAAAGGAATGGATGATATGGAAGCAATTTGATCAGGAAGACTACAGAGTAGTTGAACCAGGAAAGAAAGCAAAAAGAGGAGGAATAGTATTTTCCATGTACTGGAACTCCTACCTTAATTCCTCTTTATAATTTAAAGTCTTTGGACAAGCTACTCTTTCTTGCCTTCTCTTTTTTTTCTTGACTTTTTCTCTTCTTTTGTTCCCATTGGTGGTGGTAGTTTGTGATTATAGATGTATAAAAATACTGTGTTTTTTTTTTTTTTAATACTGTTTTGAGAAATAAAGAAGTATTGTGGGGTAGAGGATTGTGCTAGTGCTTATTTACTAACTTAAATGGAAGTATTAAACTTCTTTTCAGAATTCTTAGTATCCCTTTGAAGCTAAGGAAATGTACACCTTTAAAATTAAAAACTCGAGAATCAGCTTTGAAAAATCAGTAGATCTTGAAATTATCTTGTTGCAGTTTCAGTTTCCTTTTGGCTTACGGAAGTCATGCACAGAGCCTTTGCATTATTGAATATTAGTCCAGCTTCGTTAATTAAATTTGTGTGTATTTTAACATGAAAATTCATCTATACCTAAACATATCAAATTATTTCTTCACAGCCTGAAACTACGCTCCCTTCGAGTGAATGTTGGACAACTTTTGGCTACAATCATGCCTGATCTAGACTTGCAGCAAGTAAATTATGATATTGATGTGGTAGATGAAATTTTAGGACAAGTTGTAGAACAAATGCATGAAATCAGTAGTACTTAGTATCTTAAGATTTTAGCAGTCTCTTATTTGTTCTTCCATTATAACCTTTGTATAGGCTCAAAAGTGTAAATACTGCTTCTTCACTTTATATATTTGACATAGTTTGATCGATAAGTGTATATACTCTATGCATTTAGATGTTCCCACAGATACAGTGGGGGTTATCTTAACTTCCTCTTAAAGGAACACTGTCAATATTGACCAACCCCAATGTACTTAATTAAGGATTTTGCTTTTAAAATGTATTTGTAATTAAATTTGCAAATATTTTTATGATTAGGAATCTTAATACTTTTCTACAAAAGTTTTGGTTGACTTTTGGTCTTATATAAGCATTGATACTTGCAATTTTTTCCTCTTCTGAAATTGAAGCAGTGGAATATATTAAAAATGCAAAAAGAGCCTTCCTTGGTTTCCTTCTCAGAACAAACCTCGGTGATGTTATTGTAAACTACAGTATTTTCATTACTATCAAAAACGTTGTATGTTGCATTAATGTTCTAGAAATGTGACTAATAGATAACATTTTTGCCCATATTGGCAATATTTGTGTTTTTACTACCAAAAGAGGAAAAAATTCCTTAAGGGTCTCATCCTGAAAGTGGGTGATCTTTGACTCCCTTTTGGATTTTTTGGTGCCACTTAGGAACATTGTGTACATAATCTTGCAGCATAAACAAAGCCATGGGATATTTCAGCCTTTTAAGTCTTGGAGACCACGTACTTGTGTGTGTCCTGCCCTTGCTACTTGATTGTTGTTTCCTAGGGTTTGTTTCTGTGTTTGAGTGCAGTGGGAAGGATGTTTGGTTCTAGCGTTTGTAGTTCCTATCTGAACATCTGTAGGTCCCATCTGAATGCAACAGTGCTGGTTCCCAAGTCTAGTACGTACCAGTACATGGGTTCAAGTGGTTGGTTTTCAACATGCAGCTCTTGCCCACTTCTTTCCAAGTCAGAGGCATCCGACGGAATGGGAATGATTCTGGTGGCCTACTGGAGAGAATGTATCAAAAGCTAGGGTTGGACTCCCAGAGGACCTCAGCTGTAGCATCAGCTCTTGAGACTTTAAGGCGTTTTTTCGGGGCAGCCCAGTGCTGAAACGGAATGACAAAGAGGTTCTGTGATGTATACAAATGCTTGTATATGTTATCTTGGGGGGTGGGGGCAAGTTTCTCTAGCATTAAACACGTATTCTGCCCTGGAGTCTTTCAGGCTGGCATGTGAGGGTGCTGAGACTCATTTCCAGAACTTACTTTCTTTCTATCAATGTGCCATGCTGTGTATAAATGGGTCAGACTACTGAATCCTTGATCATCTGGTTGAAATAGAAATACTTCGAAAAGGAGGCATGTCTTATCTGTGGTGTGTAACTACACAGTAAGCTAAAGCTGAAAGTGTTCAAATACAATTTTTTTATACCCTCTTGAAGTTTAGACATCCTTTAGAGTTGCTCTTTTTTTTTTTCCTTTAACCTCCTTAAATGTTTCACAGCAACTATTAAGCCACTAGTACTATGCTCTAATGCTCACGCAAACTTCCTGGAGGAAATGGTGCTGAGACAAAACGTTATTACAGTGGTGACAGTATTCTCGGCCTGTTGCATGCTTTTCCTTTCAAGTTGTCATGAATGAGAAGAGGTGGCAAAGACAGCGCATCTACCTTCTACGTCTGGTATTACTCCAAAAAGTGATCAAGAAAAATGGTTCTTGCTTTAAAAAAAAATAAAAATCATGAAACTGCATCCAGTGTTTTCATACCTAGGAGTTCTACTTTTTGTCAAGCCAGTGATTTTGGCTTTTGCACTGCTAACTGTCCTGAATAAAAGGCAGATGATCCAATTAAGTTGTAGCTCAGTTTCTCGCAATGGGTAGCATTTCAATTTAAAGAGGCTATCTGTTTTCAAATGCCAATAAGGATCACGCGATTCTGTTGTACTTTGTAATGGCTAAATTGAATGTTTGATTTTTGAAGAGGTGGCTGTAATATAACTTTGTATGACTTTTAAAAAGTTTATATTTCCCATTTATTGGTGTGTAGTTTTCCATTTATTTATTACGTTTCATCAGCTCCCGTAGTTGAGTTTATTGTAGGTGACTGTCAAAATATAGCATATGTCTATATTAAAAATTGAAAATTTACAATGTACATTTACACTTTGATGAACAGTGGACTAATGGAAATGGTTTTTATTTACCTGTTAAAATGTATTTTTTGTAAAAAATTTCAAAAAATAATAAAAAAAAAAAAAGAAAATAAATTTGAGTTTGCTGGATCAAAACCTGAGGCTGTTTTTGTTTATAAATAAATGCTCTGCAGCATGGCTGGAGTTTCTGCCTTATTTCAGAAAGCGGGGCGACCCTGGGTGGGAGGAGAAGGCTTAGGCAGGTCCCCTGTGCCCTCTATTTAGATGTTCTTTTCTTAAAAAAATAAAAAAATAAAAATAATAATAATAAAAACGTTTCGGGCTGTTGTCGCCGCCCGCCGCCATGGCGCCACCCCGCCGGGGGGCGCTGCCCCACCTCAGGCGCAGCCCGGCCGCTGGGGCGCGGCTGCGCAGGCGCGGTAGGGGCGGGGCGAGCGGGAGCGGGAAACGCGCTCGCGGGCGGGAGCGGGGCCGGGCCGTGCGGCGCCGCGGGTAGGGGCGGGGGGCGCGCGGCGGCCGTTAGCGGCCGTTGGCGGCGGTTGGGCCGTGAGGTGAGGTGAGGTGAGCGGCGCGGCGCCTCGCTGCGTTCCCTTCAGGGAGCCATGAAGGTGATCACGTGTGAAATAGCCTGGCATAACAAGGAGCCCGTGTACAGCTTGGACTTCCAGCGCGGAGCCGACGGCAAGATCAACCGGCTGGCCTCGGCCGGCGTCGACACGGCCGTCCGCGTGAGTAGCGCCCCGGGCGGGCGGGCGGTGTTGGGAGACCCCTCCTCAGCCTCCTGGGGGTCGGCTCCGGGCACGGCAGATGGCTGAGGAGCGTAAGCCCCGAGAGATGCGGCGGTGAGGTGCACCGTCGTAAAGGCAGACGGTTGCTTTCTGTCATAAAACTCCCTGATGCACATTGTTCCTGTCAGTCAGTAATCATTATTTTTTTCTGTTAAAAGTAAGGCCTGATCGGAAAGCTTTGGGAAAATGAGTGCACTGAGGGAGTGACGTTCTTTTTAAATGCATCTTAGTCATCTCCTTAAATAAAGTTAATGGGCTAGTGAGGCATAGTTTTCTTTTTGCCTCCCTTTCTTTTGGAACTAAAACTGAAACAGAGTAGGTTCCCATCCTGCTGGGCTGTTCGTTTCCTTTTATGTCCCTTCAGTATCCAGGCATGGTGGTTTGCCATTTAAAAAAAAAAAAAAAAAGGAAAAAAAAAGAAAAAATTGACTTGTTTGCTAAAAACCCTACTGCTAACCCCTTCGATTTTCCTCAAACTCATCTTGCCATAAAGAAGGATTCCAAACCAGGAGCTTCCCTGTGCTCCTTGGTAACAAACTCCCTCACAAGGAATTCATGCAGGTTTTCTGCTATGTGAGTATGTATCCATCCATCAGTCTTGGGTCATTTTACCTTTTAAATATCTTCTGAGCCTGCTTATGGTTTTGTCAGTCTTCACTCACCCGATATATTTGAAAAAGAAATAAAATATTGTAATGAGGTCTCACTACATGTGGAATAAGCAGGTAAATGGAGATTTTTCTTTTTCATATTGTTACTGCTGCATTTTCTTAATGGAGAGATATTGTGGTTTAGCAGAGGATCTGAGAGGCGAAGATCAGGCATCCTTTCAATCTGGACTGTTTGGATTTTTTTCCAGTAGAGATAAGGGTGGTTTTTTTTTGTGTGTTTTTTTTTTTGTTTGTTTGTTTTTGATTGTTACTATTTGTGTTTGTTGTTGTAGTCCCATAATATTAAAATCACTATCTATAGACATGTCTAATTCACTTGAAGGTGGAGGTTGTTCATGAAAGATAAGAAAATGATGTCATGATGTCGTGTGTTTGATTGGTTTTTAAATTTATTGGAAATACTTGGTAATATATTTCATCAGACTAAAATAATACTGCAATATAATTACAGCTGTAGCTTGTAGAGGGAAAAATACTGTGCTATTGCAGCTTTAGCTGTCAGAGTTTCAAATTGTAACTTCAGAATGACTGCCCAAGGAGTAAATTGTGAATCCTTGTAGTGATGAACACAGCGTACATCTTGTTTCTGAAAACTACCTGTAATGCTTTTGTAACTAGATATGGAAAGTGGAAAAAGGACCGGATGGAAAAGCTATTGTGGAATTCTTGTCCAACCTCGCCCGCCATACCAAAGCAGTAAATGTTGTGCGCTTCTCCCCCAGTGGTGAGATCCTAGCGTCTGGTGGAGATGGTGAGTGATAATGCATAATGAAGCTAACCTAAAGAAGCTGTTTGTGCGTCTGGTGAGTGGAGGGGGGAAGTGAACGTGGGGAAATGAACATTCATGCCTGTTTCTTGCACTTCTATCTGTGGACTCCTGTGTGCCCTCTGATTGTAGTTGGGGAATGCTTGTCATGCAGTTCCTAAATAAGTTCTCACTGTCTGTGTGTCTGAGAGGATGTATTCCAGATACAAAATAGTTGCTGTCTCTGTTTCAGAGGCGGGGAGACTGAGTGTATTGCCTAGCATCATACTGAGACGCTGTGGCAGAATCTGTAAATTTAGCCCTGTCCGTCCAGGGCCGTGTAGGTTCTTCAGTTGCAGTAGGGACAGCGTTAGGTGGGTGGGTGAGACAGAGCTGAGTGTTACCTGCCTCACTGGAAGATTTTCAAAAGCCTGAAGTGCAGAACCATAGCTAGCTCTAACCAAAAGTAAATTGAAAAGTAAGTATTTAACTCTCTTACTCCTGGGAACCCCTGTATTCTTTTTATTAGCATTACATAAAAAATACATAGATTAAAATCAGTAGCTCACACTGGAGGAGGGTAAAGCAGTCTCTTCTTCCTCATCACAAATTAAGGCTTGGTTTTCATGTGTCATATGTGAGATAACTGTAATGTTAAACTAAATGTAACGTATTAACAAAATGAGTGGAAAAGAAGGCTTCATAGTATTTCTTTGACAGATGCTGTTATTTTGTTGTGGAAGCTGAATGATAGCAAAGAACTGGAACCACTGGCTTTTCAGGATGAAGATGAAGCACAGCTCAACAAGGAGAACTGGACGGTTGTTAAAACTTTAAGGTAGTTCAATATTTTTTGTCTTGAGTTCTGTTCTGGGTTTTTGATTCTGCACTGGCTTTTGTCATATGGTACAGTCTTCTGCTCAGTGTATTTAGAAATTCAGTACTCTCTAAGATTTGTTTACTCCAATGTTTGTCCTTTTAGCATCTTTTATTTTTTTCTTTTGATGCAGTGCCAACCTGCATCCTCTTAGTTAAGGCATTTACGTGACTTAATTTACATGACATGACTGATGTGCTCTGAAACTGGTTCCTGAGATCTGCAGTCACTTTAAGTTTAACATGTGTGTGTATATATATGTGTACATCTATGTGTATAAAGAAAATGTGAAGTTTTATTTATTAACTTCAGTGGAAATTTTGATCATTATTAAAGCAAAAAATGTCAGTAGTTGAAATGGTTCATTGAAATTTGCCAGCTGTGAAGCTTTCACTTGCTGTGAAGCTAGACCAGTCTTACTCAACCGATTCTTTTTAATAGTTCAAAATCCAATGTATTATTATTCAAACTTATTATTATTCAATAATAATTATTCAATTCAAACCTATTATTATTTGAACTATTATTCATATTATTATAGTATTCAAACTACATAGTAAAATATACACACTGTGCCTGTTAAGTCTAGGTCAGTATTAGCTGACAGTGACTAAGGCATTAAACCAATGCTGGCAGTTGGAATGTGTTCTGTTCTCACTCAGCAGAAAATTGAAGAAAATAAGTGGTTCTGAAGTACTTCTTGATGAGCAGTATTTATACCTGCTCCATTTTCTGTGTAGTACCTGTTAAAAGTTTTGGTCTCTGTCTATACTGATCAAATTGCTAAGAATTTACACTATGTTACAAAAAATAAGCAACTGTGCTATACATAACTGTTAAGAGTCCTTGCAACTGTCCTGGTGTATGTGCGAACAGTTTCAAACATGGTAGTGTAATTGCATGAAGCACTTGCAGGATACTTAGGAGCATCAAGCTCTTAAAGCAAACCAAGCCAACCCCCCTTCCATAAATTTAGCATTGCAAAAATTAAAAATTTCAAGCTATGACACTGTATGGCAAATCTTTAAACTTCAGGCAATACAAATTGGTTTCAATGAAGTCTTTCTAGGTGGTTCTGAATATCTTACAATGTTTGTTCAGTTGCATCTATATCAACCTTAATTTTCTGTATTTCATATAGTTCTGGTGAGTGTGCATATTTGTTTATTGCTCTTAAAAAAATCATAAACATGCAGTAAAGTCATCTTGAATAGTGACGCTTCTAGGCTTCTTTGGTGTAGCGTTCTGTTTGTACAGATCCTACAACTCTTCATTTGCAGATCTTTAGATATAAATTCATAATTTCAAATGCAAGGTTTTTATTGTCTGTGGGGAAAAAAGGAACGTTGAAAAGGCAGGTTTATGTTGAATAGAAGGTAGGTTGTGCTTTTAAAAGCATTCTATCGTCTCCTGAATATGGAAATTTTATAGAAGCTGAAAATCTTGCTGTTCATTTTACTTCCATGATTTTTTTATTTGTATCTCTGATTTATTTATTTTTTTAACCTGAAATTGTGCAAAACTTTTATGTTTACGTGTATCTGTTCACCTTAATAATTGGTTTCTTCTCTGCTGGCTTCTAGAGGTCACTTAGAAGATGTGTATGATATTTGTTGGACTTCTGATGGAAATTACATGGCATCTGCTTCTGTAGATAACACAGCGATAATGTGGGATGTCAATAAAGGTAAATGCTGTTTCTTATTTGTGGCTTCACTACTGTCTTAGGGTATTTACCAAAATTATTTATTTATTGTCTTAGGGTATTTACCAAAATAGTTAAAAATGTTTTCTTTTTGTGAGAGCAGTCCACTTAGTTGCTAAACTTCTGGAATTGTGAGGCAGGTAGCCCAGCACATAAAGATAAACTCTAATATGAGGGTATCTAATCACTTAATACTATGTCATCTCTTCACCTCAGGTGACTGGGAAAGCAAACAGCACCCCTTTTCTTTGCCAAAGCTCCTATACAAATGTCTTGTGTATCATTTGCTCAC